CGGATGTGTAGCGAAAGCGCCGCGGGATATTTGTGACACTGCCGCCGCCAAAGAGATGCCCCGCCCACCCAACAGCTCGCAACTTGGTTGCGGCGTGAAAATGCACACGGGGCAGGGGCAGGAGTAAGGGGCAGGGGGCAGAGGGCTCAGCACAACCGGGCACAACCGGGTGCGTCTTGTGTGTATTGTAAATAACGATTTGCGACGATTTGTGTCATGTGCGATGACGTCGTCCCCGTCGATATCATTGATACTTTGTCAAACGTGTAAATTACATGGCGCATTCGGCACTTGCGATTTATTTTCACATGCAAATTTTCCCAAAAACGAAAGCGAAAAACCCGTCCGAAGACGACGGCGACATCATCATCATTATTCAAAGGGCTGGCAAATCCCAAAGGGGATGCCAGTTTGACACGCGTTCGCGAATCCCTCGCAAACTACTTTAAAATTTCAACCAATTTCAAATGACTTCTTGTCACACATGTGGCCTGGATCTGGGAGTGGGTGCGGGACTGGGAGCGGCAGCGGGAGCGGGGGCTAGGGCCTTGCATCGTTAGTGCAAATCGCATCATCGCGTCGCTTTGTGCGTTTTGATTGATGTCAGACGCTTGTAAGTCGCCGCTCAATCCACATTCGCACATCCCGAGCTGCCGCTCTGACCCTGCCCCGCACAGCCCGTGCGGTTTGACTCTAAGCCGACATTACCTTACCCCTTTTGCCCTGGCCCGGCCCCTTGCGCTTCGACATGCGCTCGTCACGCGATTTTTCAGCAGTTTTCCACGCGTTCATATTTCGTAATATTTTATAAGAATCTTTTTACATTATTTTTCTCGGCGTGATTTATGAAAGCCTGCCGGGTGAGCTACCCCAGACATTTGCGTCTTGTTTATAAGGGTTAAGCTGTTTCAATTTCACTCCAGTGATTAGGTTAGATAAAGATGATAATGATAAGGTTGTGACACATTGGGGCGTACACAGTTTTGCATATGTTAATGTAAATAAAAGCAGCGCTTGTCAAACTGTACTCCAGCAGACAATTATGCCGGCAAAGCAGAGCAGCTTGGCTTCGTATATCGGCTCCACTGTGCACATGAAGCTGCGACTACTGTACTGACTCCTCCACCAGCGAAGTTAAGGCGCCTCTGAGCTCTTCACAAGCAGCTTACAACTAGCTTCTACCTGTCGGCATTTAAGCCAGATTTGGGCCATGGTCGCTACCTTGCACTGCGAATGGTTCAAATCCTCATTTTAGGAATTTTCTCAGTCTGTGACTGGCACGTTTGCTATTCGATTTAAGGCAGAGATCTGTATCTTGATACCTTAGAGGAGCAGCATGGAGCATGGACCAGCCGACATCCTAGCTCAACACAAGGCCTTCTGGCTGGATCTACAGCAAAATAATAATAATAATTGTAAAGTTTTGGACTCTATGACCCCAATGTTGTAAGTTTAGATAAAAGCAACAACAGTGACAACTGTCGCACTTGTGTGCATTGGCAAGGGAACTTTGCCCACTGAGGCGCAACAATTGATGCATAACATGAACTTGACCAGTCACCGAGTGACCAGCCATTTATCAATTTTGACACGGTGACTGTGGCAACTCTGGTCAGTCCGAAAATGCCGCCAGCTGCCTAACCTGTTTGAAGTTGAACGCGCGCGCGCGCGCAAGTGACAAATGTACAAACAAATGCCCGGTTTTTCACGCTCAATGACTTTCAATTAGAGCTACAACAGGACCGGGCGCCGACCCCCGGTGGTCGCCTGGTCAAGTGCGCGTCCTTTTGCGTCAGTTGCCATGTTAATTGGCTAACGCGCAAGGGTTAAACGTGCCCACTGTCCACCCCAAATTCGGGTGTCCAGCTCGGCGCATCGTTCATCAATTGTCCTGATGATGCAGCAAACTTCAAAACGTATTTTCTGCTCGTTAGTTTCGTAATTTTCCAAATTTCTAATGTGCAGACTGTACGCTCAAACCTTCCCCCTCCCCCTCCCAGCTTGTTGTGTCGTACCATTATTTTGCTGGTCATTTTGGGAATTGTCTGCTAATCAAAAAAAAAAAATAACAAGAATGAGATTGTCAATAAGTTTGAGCCCAAAAAGTTCGTGTTTGGAATATGTATTTAATTTGTCGCTTTTCGTACCTAAGATGGAATTTTGAAAAATGATAAGAAATAAAACGTCGATTGATTGTAGAAAAACATCCCTCTTTCGGGCATCCCAGGTGCAAATTAAAGCCGCCAAAATATTTGTTTCTTATCAAGAATATACATACTTAATGGGGTTAAAGCAATCCTTTTTATGATTACGATAAAATACGACTTTAAGATTGCATTTTATATAATTTAACAAGTTTTAACAGTTGTCAATTTTGTGGGAATTCGATTTATTGATATTCCGAATATTAGATCAATTTTTTATCAGAAGTTAAAAGTCGATGTCGTATTTGGAAAACTGTATTCAAATTAAAAATCAAAAATATACATTTTATTATACTTTTGTATGTATTATTTTTTTTGCTGGTCATTTTAGGGAACCCTTCAGAATTAAAAAACATGAAACATTAAATCATGAAACTGGCATCACTTTTATTTCCAACAATATTCGTGTGTGCTATACATAAAGAAACAGTCTCCTAAAGATTTGTAATCAACTTGAAAAGAATAAAGAAAATTCTTCAAATTAAAATGTGAAAACGTTGTCTTTATACCATACCATGAGTGTGTTTTAAAGAATAAAAAAAAAAATAGGTTGCTTTACTCAAAATTTTGGAGTTGTGTACAAATCAAAGAAGACAAACAATTTTTATTTATTTATATGTTACAGGACCAAGTAATAACTCAAACTGTGACAAACATCGTCTTGAAAGTCCAGGTTATCGAATAAGAAAAATGCTTTTTAAACTAGAATATCTTGACAACACTAAGATATTGTGAAAAAAGTCGCAGAAGCGATTTTAATATTGCATTTTCTTTAAAATCTCACAATCTGTCAAGCTTAACCAAAAGACTTTTCTACTTTTAATATTTTTCTACTTGAAAGACTTTCAAGTAAATTTTTATCAACAATAAATCGAATTTTCTTTCATTTATCATAGATAATTTAATTCGCATTCTTGTAGTGTACTCCCTTTTCTTCAGGTAACAACGCCAACTGTCTCTCTCTCTTTCTGTCTCTCCCTGTGTACAGTTGCGCACAAAGCACAGCTGAACATAACCTAGAATTTGCAGAAGATGCGCATCCATTAATATTGCCATCGCATGGGTTTGTGTACATGCGAATATATTGGAATAGAGCATGCAAATGGCGTACGCTTTTCTTTCATCGTATCCATTTTTGCAGCCGCCTGTTCAAAGCAATTGAAGCAGAAATGCCTCAAATCATGTTACACATGACAAACAGGACTAATGTGGTGGCCACCAGGCTGCTGCCTGGGCAAACTTTGCGACTTTCGCAGGGCAAATACAGCCCCCACTCCAACCCTTTAATGAAACATCCAGCGGTTGCCAACACAACCAACAGTGGCTGCAAAAAGTATATAGAAAAAATATCTGCAAACTTTAAAGCAAACAACAGAGCGGAGTACGATTCGTACCACCGCGGGCGCTCATACTCAAATGCGTTTGACAAAATGACAACCAGTGCTTGGACCCCGTCCCCACCCCAAACGGATTGAGCCCACTGATTGCCCAGGCCGGGCGACTGGTAGCTGGCAACTGGTGAATGGTGAATGGTAAATGGTGAATGGTGCCTGCTGCCTGGTGTTTGGCGGGCGCCTGCGTGTGCTTCACGGTTTATTGGTTCCATTTCGCATGTCAAGTTCTCCGTCCACCAAGCGGCTAATTTGCAAATAATATGCATGCGAGTGTGTGTGTGTGCGTGTGTGTGTGTGTGCCTTGCTGGCATTTACATTTTTGCAAAAGGGTTCCATCTCATCCAACCACCAAGTTCTCTATTTGCACGCTTTGGCGGTTTGCTGGCAAAATGCGAAATTAGATTTGAAAGTCCTATTTGCGTGCAGCTTTACCGCTTTCTTCTTTTGTGTCTTTATCTCTTAATACCCTTGCAGAGGGCATATTAATTTTGACACGAAATGTGTAACGTAAAGAAGCAGACGTTGTCGACTCCATGTATGTAAATAATGTTGATTTTGGCGACCTTTCCAAATCTAAAATATTTGATTAGTTCGACTTCTCCAGCTAAACAAATATTTAAAAGTATATATGCATAATTCTCTCTTCGTCCGTTCGTATGTCAGTCTTTCTGTTGCGGACACCTGGATCGAAGCACTCCATCATTTAAAACCTTTTTGATTTTTACAGATATTTTTATATCTAGTTTTGCACGGAAGCATATCAAAGCACTTCTAAGCGAAGGGCATTTAATATTCGGTTTGCGGCAATTGGCCGTGCTCTCCTGATTTTTATTTACTTTTGCAAATTAAGGTCACAATTTTCGGCATTTATTTGGCCCTTTTTTGCAAAATGTTTGCCCATTGGCCCTTACCTTTGAAGATCTTGGGCTTTCAACTCACGTGGCCCACTTGAAAGCCCAAAGCAAATATGTTGCCAATTTGTTTAAGCCGGCATATCTTTGATTTGAAACAAGCGCCTTAGCTGTGTGTCTATATGTCTGTGCCACACAGTCTGCCACATGGCACAGCAATGTTTGCATTATGCAAATGACGTGCCGCTTGGCTGATAAGAACCGGCGCAGGTAAGCGCGGAGCGAACAATTGATTATGATTGTGATTATGATTGAGCGGCGCGCAAAAGTCAATAACAATAGCATAATGCAAAGGACACAGATACAGCTGCCAACAATGGACGCGAAGCGGTCCCAAGGTGCCGTCCAACCCCCCCATACCCGACCGCAAAGGCAAACGCAATCCCAGCTACCAATTCCATGACGGAAACTGTGAGCGCACCACTTAAAATTAATGGAAATGTGTAGCACACACACACACACACACATACAGAGAGAGAGAGCACACACAATTGAAATTTAAATAAAAACTGTCGATGCTCAAGTGAAGTTCCCAGTGCTCCACTTGCTGCCCACTCAGCTCTGGCGCGTTCTCCACCCCGCTCTGTGCCTGTGCGTCTCTGTCGAAGCGTAAAATATTATGTCATTATCAAGGAAACGCAATAAATTTCTCTGGACGCGCGTTAGTCAAATTTCAATACAATAAAAGAAATACAAGAAACTGAAAAAAACACAAGTAAACGCGCTGAAGTTAAACCTGCCCCGACTTGGAGATACTCTGTACACACAAACACAGTTAGCCCAAATGTGAAGAATTCATTTTAAACTGATTTTTTGTTTATTTTAAAATGATATTTTATAATAAAAATCAAGACACATAATTTTGAAAATATGAAAAGTTTCACACTAAATTTGGTGTCTCCAGCTTCTATAATCCCTAAACTATGCACAAAAACCCAGAACTGAAAATCGAATTTATCGATTGTTGGGGGAAAAAAAAAAGTTTGGTATGATACCCAAGAATCTTAATTCAAAATTCACAGACAGACATGAAATATATCTACTCTACGCCTGTTGCCTGTTACATTCATATGCACAAATAGATTATACCCTGTCTTACGCATTTTTAATAAAGCACGGGGCATAAAAAAGAATAGTACAAAAAAAAACTGTTTGAATTTACAATTAGCTGTGGATGGAGTTTGAGTGGCATTGTTGTCATGGTGTGTGTGTGTGTGTTTGTGTCAATTGATAAAGTGTTTGAGCCAGCGTCCTGCCGCGTTTTATTTTTTCACAGGCCACTGACGAGTGCCACTCAAAGACGGGACCACCGCGGCGTTATTATCTTGGATTTGGCATGCGTTGCGCCTGGCATCTAATTACAGAAACAGGAGCTGCGCTCAGGAGCCAGCGACAGGAGGTGACGTTGGATATTCAAATGCGGCCAGAATATGCGGCGTTAAGCTGTGAATGACACCCGTTGCCTTGGCCGCGCCTTTGTGCCGCCTGTCCAGTGGCCCTGGCAACTGTTGCCACTGGGCAGGGCTTGGCGCTCGGGCGGGCAATACAAGTCATTAAGCTGCTGTAATTGCTGCGGCCCGACTTATCAGTCGAGCTGGACCCAATAACCATATATTTACGGAGTAACTTCTTTTGCTGATCTCACCCGCAACCCCTGTTGTTTTTATTGCCAACAACTTTCAGTTGATTTGTGTAAGTGTTGGACGCGAGTTATTGTGTTGGCCAACTCAATGCACATATGAATTGTTTATAGGCCATGGGCGAGACCACACCCACACCCACTCGCAGCTCATATCCGAGTTTCATAAAGGAAATGACATTTTTCTACGGCACTTTTCGCAAACAACATTTTTGCCGATTGACATATATCACCTCCAGTTTCGCATCTCTGGCTCGACGCTTAACGTTCCACATTTCCGGTTTTGGTTTTTCCCGTTGACTGCTTCGAGGATGACGCAGCGGCGGCGGCGTTGGCCGCTTTTCTTGGCTTGTGGCATAAGTCGATTATATGCGGAAATGAAAACCCATAAAACTCCTTTCCTACGGTGATTAGTTAACATATTTTTCGTCGCAACATCCACAATTGTATGGCCTTTTCTTTTTTTTTTTTTTGGGTTACGTATTCGGGAAGGGAAACAATTATTTATGTGAAATATTATTTATTATTTATTGTTGTTGTTCTTTTGGGTGTTCCTTTATGAGTGTGTGTATGCACTCGAGACCGAAATTGTTGTTGCGAGTGGTTGAGGTCCATTAAGTTTTGTGAGTGGCCGGTCATTTATGAGTTATGCATATTAAAAGAGGTTTCAACAGTTCATATGTGTATATAAGTTCATAAATTTAAAGGAACTTTAGTGAGAAGAAAGTTTATGGGTTTTATTAGTTTTAGACATGAATCGAATATAAATATTTTAAGAGCTTTTTATTTATTATTGAAATAAATATAATATAATAATAATATTTTATAAAATATTCATAACAATTCATTAAACATGCACGTCTTTCAATTATTTGAGTTTAAAGATAAATATTCAAAAGTTAAGAACATGCAAGAAGGCTCTAGTCGGGAGTCCCCGATTAGGGGATACCTTGAACCTTATTCTATCAAGACCAAATGCAGGCGCAGCGCTAGCATTAAAATGATAGATACTTGATCTGTAATTTCTATCATAGAAGCTACATGTCAAATTTGGTGACCGTAGCCTTTAAAACCTAAGAGATTTGCTCAAAAAACAGTAAATCGCTATCGATTTTTATCGATTGCTTGGAAACGGGGAAAGTTATCGATTATCGATTATCGATTCTAAATTTTAAGTTTCTAGTTCTTATAGGTTCGGAGATCGACACGTTCATACATACGGACAGACGGACAGACAGACAGACAGAAATGGTGATCAAGAATATATATGTACTTTAAAGGGTCGGAGATGCTTCCTCCTCCCAGTAGCATACATTTGCACAAATATATTACACAGCTTTTACCCATTTCCAATAGGTTAAGGGTATGCAAATTTTAGTTCTTTAAAAACTATCCGAAAATCGATGAAAGTTTTGTGTTTTATATTTTCCACTCTAAATAACATATAAAAAGTAAACTACATTGTTGTAATAATCATTTAGCATGTTCTAATGAATTTTTAATTGTAGCAATAATTTTTTCTATGCCAACTTTCTGGCTTTTTTTGTAAAAAAAATATATCATACATTTTTGTTCAATATTAAATATCTTCAATAAATTCAAAATATAAGTTTGCATATGCCTTTGTTCTCTTATTGAAAGTCCAACTTAAAAGCACGCCATATTCACCCGACGGCATCGGCAGCGGAATAACTTCTGGTTTTAGATACAAGTCCTTTACTATAACCGGGCCCTGTAAATTAAATGAATATAAAACAATTTTAAGGTAAATATACTACTTATGCTTACCGTAAATGGACACGTGTGGTTCAGATTGGAGTAATCCCTGAAGATTCTGTATATGATATTTATAACTGGATTATTGTGCTTCCGTTGAAACTCACAGATGTCAAATGTGATGTCATGTTGCCACGGCTTAAACCCATTCGCCTTTTTCATCAACTTAACTCGGCATCTTAAATCGTAGACTGTGTGTAGGAAAGTACCCGTAAATTGCAAAAGGGTCTTGTTTCTCTGAACAGCCTTCAAACGGCAGGTCTGCAGCAAAAATGTCTGATTGTCAGAACCGCACACGGCATTTGTCCATCTCACATGAACAGCAACCTGAATATAACTTTTCATGTAGAAAGCATTTGTGGACACAAATTTTACTTACATTCAACATCAGTTCTTCAAAAACTATTAATATAATGAAGGGAGCTAAGAGCGAGCTTCGCATATTGTCTGTTCACTGTCTAAAATGGATTTACATAAAAACAAAAAAAAATTAAAATGTTAAGTTTTTTACGCTTGAGTAAAACTATTTTTGAATGAAAATTTTGTAATTTTAACTTGTATATTTGTTCAATTAATTAATCATTTAACAATTAATAACGCATTTTCAATTTTTTTTGGATTAATTTTGGGTTTTACAAATTAAAATAATTATAATTAATCAGTACAGTCTATTAGTTTTTATTTTTTGTAAACAACTACAGCTGCGAGTGCGATCTCAAAGATAAGAATGTTAGAAAAATCTTAAAAAATATTAAGTTAATAAATTCATGTTATCTTGAAAACATGTCTTCTTATATAAAGAGTTGGTAGAACTTAGTTTTGTTAAGTTTGCCTAAGACATTAAAAAAAAAACAAACACAAAACTTTAAGGTGCACGCTCTTAATATTGGATCGTTACATATATATATATATACATATATATATATATATATATATATATATATATATATGTATTTATGGGATTGGAGAGGTCTTCTTCTAGGTCTCCTTTTTGTATTTATTTAATATATTTTTATTTCGTTTTATAAAACTTGCTGCGCTTAGCGTATGCCATAATATTGTTTTTCAAGTGTTTTTAATTGACTTTAATTTTATAAAAAATCAGAATATTTAGATTTCCTAATTACAAGAGTAAAAAACCACATTATTTTGCATTTTGATACATTTAAAAGTAAATTAGGCTTCAAATATTCTAAACGACATTTTAAGTGATAACAAAAAAATACTTAGGATTTGCATATTTAAGAAAAAAATGTATATATCAATTACATAGCCATTTAAATTTCCTGCTTGAAAAAAATGTCCTCTTAATTTTGGGAAAGTAGAGAGAGATTTTTTAATGCAGATGCATCTGCAACCACAGCCGCTGCCACTGTTTCTTTTATATTTTACTCTGACAAGCACAGCGCGCTGACAAATAATTGAAATCAATCAAAATGCTTAAGGACACAGGACCCTCGGTCCTGGAACAACGGGAGAAGGTAGCGACACGTGCGCGAAATGTTGCTAACTAATCAAAATTCAATTTGGCAACTCTGGCCGGGCGCTTAAATCATTAAAATCAAAATTCGCAAATGATGCGCATAATAAACTCAGCGCTCGTTTTCCCATGAAGCGACCAGGAGCCAGGACCAGGAGGCAAGACCAGGGCCAGGGCCAGGATCAGTGGCTGACAATGCTTGGCTTGATGGGTTCATTCGGTGACAATTGAAATATAGCCGGGCATTTGTTGCTGCCAATGTTTGCAAACATGTAACCCTGCCCCCCTACCCCTACCCCTACTACCACTGCTCAGCTTGTTGTTGCGCCAGCCAAGCGTATCAATAAATCCATTTAAAATTGCGTGCAGGCCGCGTGTGTGTTGTGTGTTGTGTGCCGCGCCGGTCGGGTCGAGTGTTTGTCCTCTCAGGCCGCACATAATGCAATGGGAATTATGGCTGCTTAGTGCCTGGCAAAATATCGAAAATAAATTGGCAGCGACAGCGAAACAAAAGCGCCAAAAGACGTCACCAATTGACATCGACATCGACATCGATAACCACCGCCGCAACCCTCACATAGGCCCAGCCTAGGTAACCCCGGCTAATACCGTCCCAAGTCAGCCCAATTTCAGCAACCCTCAATTTAAAATGCAAAATCAAAGTAAATCAATTTCAGTTCGCAAAAAAATAATACAACAACATTCGTGTAAACCAAACCTGGGCACGTTCTGTGCGTTAAGTCGGCCAATAAATCAAATTAGAAAATTTTTACTTTGATTTTTTCTGCCTCAAAATTATGCGCATATGCGCTAGAAGACAAACTCGGCCATAAAGGACATCCAGGACACACTCTACGCACTCAGTCAAGTCTCTGTATAGACATTGTAATTTGTGCAAAATCCTTAAAATCCAACACATTTATCACAAATATGCGCCCATAAATCAGGACACAGACGTTAGCGGGCGGCTGGCGCCTTGGCCAGGGGGCGTGGCACTTATCATGGCACAGTTTCCACTCTAAAATCGAGGCCATAAAATGCGCCTCGTCGCAGCGGGCGCGCCTAATTTGCACATTTTCACTATTTTAATGCTCTTCTCCGATTTTTTAATGTGCTTATTTATGTGGCCTGTTTATGATTTTATGCGCTTTCTATGCTAATTTCGGCCACAGAATAGATCGTAAACTAAAGGTGACGTCATTTATCATACACAAATTTATGCAAGTGGGCGTCACAAATGGTACTTAAAACTGAATGTGTGACAGAGTATCTCTCTGTGCTTATCTGAAAGATACAAACTGTACTTGTAGAACTCTAAGTACTTGAAATATTGAGATTATCATTGTAATAAATAGTTATTTAAAAGCGCAGACAATAATTTATAACTGAGTACTTAGAATTAATTAATTGAAGTAATTATGTATCTAATTTGGGGTGAAATAATCAATTATCTTATTGCCAGAGATACTCCAATATGTAATATTATAATAATTCATTATTCTTTTAGTTTTAATTTAAATATAATAGTGCCAGATATACCCTCAAATCTAATCTAACGTCTCTTATTAATTACTTACCGTATATATCTAAATTAGAATGGAACAATCCATTATTAGTATAAGCTAATAACCCATTCTTAATATAACTTGAATATCATATTGTATGAGGTATTCTATATCTAATACCCTTATATCTAACCTAATAGTAAATTATTAACAAACTTAGTTTTATACCCTTGCAGACATATTATGTCTCGAAATGTGTAGCGCATAGAAGGAGCCATCTCCGACCCCATAAAGCGTAGATATTCTTGATCAGTATCAATAGCCGAGTCGATATACCCATGTCCCTCTGTCCGTCTGTCTGTATCTATGCGAACTAGTCTCTCAGCTTTGCAAAAGTACCTTTTTCTGTTGCACGCAGTACATACGTAGCAGCCGGCTAGATCGGACCACTATATCATATAGCTGCCATAGGAACGATCGGTCGAAAATTAGGTTCTTGTATGAAAACCTTTTTGTTTATCGAGATATCTTGACCAAACTCGGCATCTATTAGTATTACTATGCTACTCATATATTTGCATAATCCTAGCATATCCATAGAAACGATCGGTCGAAAAAAT